GGTTGGAAGAGACCACCCAACATCATCTTGTCTAGACCCCTGCTCCAGAATGGATCATTCCTGACTAAAAACTATCCCAGCCAAGTGTCTGTCTAATCTGTTCTTGCGAATTTCCAGGAATAGCGATTCTATGCCTTCTCTAGGTAGCCTTTTCCAATGCTGGACCATCCTCAAAGTCAAAAAGTTTTTCCTAATCTCCAACCTACATTTCTTCTGCTGTAGCTTGAAGTCACCGCTCCTAGGCCTGCCCTCTTCAGCCACAGAGCAAAGCCCGTCTCCAGCCTCTGTGTAATCACCCATCAGGTATCTGAGCATGGTTGTTATCAAATTCCTCCTCAGTCTTCTCTTCTACAGACTAAACAGACCTAGATCTTTTAGCCTTTTCTCTTAAATCTTGTCTTCCGGGCCCCTAATTATTTTTGCTGCTCTGCACTGAACTCTCTCCAATCTGTCCATATCGTTCTTGAAGTATGGAGCCCAAAACTGGACATAGTACTACAAAGTGGAAAAAACACTTTCCATGATTTATAAGTCACACTGACACCTGTTAATACAACCCAGCATGCTGTTGGCTTTTTTCTCCAACAATAGCACACTGTTGGCTCATATTCAGTTTATGGATTACTGTAACCTTAAAGTTTACAGTCTGTAGTACTGTACCCTAGCCAGTCATTCCCCTGTCTGTATTTGTGCATGTTATTATTCCATTCCAGGTGCAGGATTTTGTATTTGTCCTTACTGAACTTCACCTGTTTGACACAAACCATTTTCTCAGTACTTCCAGGTCATCCAGGATCCTAACCTCCAGGATGTCAGTTTGCCTTCTTGATACAGCACTGCACAGAGAGCTCATGATCTCTTGACTTACTGCTTGCCAAGACGGTCTCTTGCTAGGAACAACCTGATGAATTATTATGCATTGGGTTGAACTGAAACACATTTTATTGGGTTGTACTCATTTAAATAGGTGATTCATGTAACTAAATCTTACCAATCTCAGTGTTACCTGAAAGCTTTGCAGTAATGATTTTAGAGCATTGTTTGGATTATTAATAAAGGTATTAAAAAGTGGTGAACCACAAATTGATCACTAGGGTCCTTTCATGAGAATAAAGCCCTACTTGCTGTTTATTCCTCATTAAAAATTATATTTTCAGATCAGACAGTGAGCCAATTTTTAATTAAGCAAGTGAGCATCCTGAAAAAGCCATATAAAGCAAGTTTGAAATTAACATTTAAACATATTTTCCTCTTGCACATTAAAGTAATTTTTAAAATACTTTTTTAGACTGTTGATAACATGCTTTGCTGGAGAGTGCTAAACAATTAGCAAAGTACTCTTATTAGCTGAAAGAAAAAGTTCCTGGGCATGTGAAAGAAATAAGAAATCTGGATATGGAAGATCTAGGGAAAAATAGAGAGCGAAAGAAAACACAAAGTCTGCAGCATAGGACGGCTGGGTGCCAGCATGCAGCCAATTTATAGCATCTGTACTCCAGACCACAGAAACAAACAAAAAAGCTTTAAAAAGCTTCTGGGAAAAAGGCAGTCTAAAGTACTCAAAGTTTTTAAAACCATTTTTCAGGAAAGTATACCAAGGAATTCCCAGACCGCTATAATCTTCAAGAGAAATGATTAACTACACATTTTTAATAGTAAAAATTACATGTTATTCAAAGTTTTAGATCTCAATGACAGCTGAGCTGAGTAGTATTGGGGGATTTTTTCCCTAGCAATAGGGAAGAATAAAGTGTTTATGCTGATTCTTATAAATTCATCGTCAGTTTGATCACAAAGTGTTGGTACCTCTATAATGCCTCAATTACTTTGATTCCTGAAGGAATGTTTTGGAAAATTTCTCCACAGCTTCAAGAACTCTCCCAATGTTAGGTACTAGGGTGTGCAAAGTGGGACATATTCGATTGGGATTCATCCCGATTCGGGGGACAGTGATTCAATTTGCTGATTTGGATCACTGTCCCAATTCGACTTGGCCAATCTGAATCTGAAGATTCGATTCTGAGTTGGAGAATCACCAATTCAGCTATAAACACAGCTTTATATGTTTTTTCTACATTCCTCGAAGTACCAGGCGCAGCTCATGAACTCTCAGATGGTGGGGCGGATGGAGCATCTCACAGGAGCATGGGGGGAGGAAGGGGTCTCCCGCGCACTTGGCAGTGGACCCAGAAGTGGACCAGAAGCCGGGTCCACCGCTGAGCGAGCAGGGGGCTCCCCCCACACTCCCTGAGCTCGGCGATCAGCAGGGATCCTGGTTTTCTATTTCCCACGGAAAAACAGAGAAAACCATGGATTTCCCATTTTTATCAGAGAAAACACACATTAGAAAAGGGGCGGGGAAACCCTCAACCCTGCCAGGAGGGGAAGAGAAGGGGGAAGGGCAGGGCCCAACACTCACTTACCGGAGGCTGCTTCAGCCTCACTGTTCTTGTTGGAGGTAAGTTGAGCTTGGGGGTTGTGGAGCAGGGCTGGGGGGAAGCTGGCTAGGGGCTGAGGGTGTGGGGAGGTTTGCAGCCAGCCAGGCACTCTGGCCGGGAGGGGGTTTGCAGCCTCCCCACTCCTGGCTGGAGTACTCTGCTGGCTGGAAACCCCCACTGCTCCTGGCTGGCTGCAAACCTGCCCGCTCCCTCAGCCCCCAGCCAGCTTGGGCACTCCCCAGCCAGGCACTCTGGCTGGGAGGAGGGGTTTGCAGCTGGCTGGGAGTGGCAGGGGTTTGCAGCCAGCTGAGCACTCTGGCTTGGGGGGCGGGGGTGTTGCAGCCTACGTGTTCCTGGCCAGAGTGCTTGGCCGGCTAAAACCCCTGCTGCTCCTGGGCAGCTGCAAACCCCGCTCCCAGCCGGGGTGCCTGGCCGCGGAGTGCCCAAGCTGGCTAGGAACTGAGGGAGCAAGGAGATTTGAAGCCGGCCGGGAGCAGTGGGGGTTTCCAGCCAGCTGAGCACTCCAGAGTGCCTGGCCAGCTGCAAACCATGGGTCACAAATGCTATGCTCTCCACCCTGCTGCCTTCCCCCAGGCTCTCCAGAGTGCAGCATGTGCGACTGGCATGACAGGGCACAGCGGGACCACACACGAAAGCTGCCTGCTGCTGCAAGCTCCATGCTGCCCTGGCCACACTTCCTCTGCATGCACGGGGGCAGTGCACATCTGCCCTGCCCTCACCCCCCACACAGATCTGGAGGGCACAGGTCCCCCCTGCTGCACAGGAGTGCATGCTGCCACTGGGAGCTGGCCCTGCCTAAGCTTGCAGCAAGCCGCTGCCTTCAATTGGGGGCAGGGGGCTACTGACCTGAGTCCCTGGCCCCATAGCCCTGGCAGCTGGAGGCCTCCTTCAGCAGGGCTGGGGGGCTGTGGGGGGGAGGAGTGAGGGACACCAGCAGGACTGTGGGGGGGCATTTAATTTTAACCACAGATTTTGGGACTTTTATCAGAGAATTTGCAATTTTTGATCAGAGAATCTGTGATATTTTTATCATGGAAAACCAGGATCCCTGGTGATCAGCTACAGAGGGACACTGGGTGCCCCCCAAGACCCAGGAAGCACCAGTCGCCAAATTGGGGTGGGAGAGGGTCCCCAACACGCTCCATGGCAGACCTGGAAGTGGACCTGAAGTGCTTCTGGTCAACTTCTGGATCCACTGCCAAATGCACCGGGGACCCCCCCCCATGAGATGCTCCATTGGCCCCACAATCTCAGTGTTCATGAGCCACCTGGTACCTTGAGGTATGTACATATAAAGCTAACACATAAAGCTGTATCTATGTCCGAATCATCAGATCTCTCAGAATCAAACTGGAGGCTTCCAATTCGATTTGGAGAGATTAATGGGTCTCCTAATTTGATTTGGATTCAGAGATTCAGCTGCTGAATCTGGGGCTTAGTGTTTTTGTTGTAGTTTAAACTGGTGGTTTGGGTTTGGGACTGTAGAGGAGGTTTTTTGGAGGTCCCATTAGTGCTTTAGAGGCTTGTAATAGCCTTGAGCCCTGCCAAGGGCAGGCTCAAGGCCCAAGCTGTTACAAGCCCAGAGTGGACAGAGAGAGTGTTATGCAATAGCCACAGAAGGGCTTGAAGTCTGGCAAACAGGGGCCAGGGGCCCGGTGCAGACGTTAGTTAGAGCCTTACAGCCAGGCCCGATGCAGTGGGTCTAGGCTAGATGCTCTGGCTGAAGTAAAGGAGTAGAGGCTGGGTGGGGGAGGCTGAAACCCCAACAGTGACACCAGTAACATCTGTGAGGCATGGGACATGGTGGAGGGATGGTATGGAGCTGTGCAATTAGTTCTTAAGGCAGAAGCTCTGCACTGCAGGGTGTTCTTTGGAGCAAAGATCAGATTGGGGAAGCCCTAGGGGCAGCCTCCCCTTCGAGAACCAAAAGAAACATCAAGACATGGCAGGTGAGTGGGGAGACTGTTCCCAGAAGTGGATTGAAACAAAGGGGACTCTAGGGTGCCTCCAGGGCTTCTTGACCACCCTGGGGATGGTGCCCTGTTACAGGCACAAAATCAATTACCTATCATGAAATCTTCCATTTCTATTCCCATATATTCTGTTTCTTATCACTACCCCCCTTCTCAAGGTAAATTCTTTCTATAACGTTACTTTTTGTCCAGTCTTAAAAGTAGGCTAAAAGGCTTACAGTACCCTTAACATTTTAAATAAATTGAATCATATGGTGTTTTGTTTGTCTGGGCCCAAGATAAAAGGCTTTTACATTTACCAAGGATCCCACTTACAAAACAAATTAAGAAACCGGGCACAGAAACAGTCCATTTTCAAGATCCCACAGACTACTTAAATGTACTTAGGAAGTAAACAACAGGAAATAAAATATTCTCTTCCTAATTTTTAATGCATCAATTATTAACCAAAAATACTTACATAAATTTCTCTAAGAGATGCGGATTAATTCACAGTTCGTAGTTGTATATAATTTTGTGACTATAAAGCAACAGCTAAGTATTAGGAACATAATAATGGGAACAGTACCTTCAATCAACAGCTCTTGTCCATGACTGCCCAAAAGAGTACGGGACAGGAAAGGGGCGAAATCTACAAATATTTCACGCAGGAGGGGTGCCACCTTTTCTAGAGCTCTCTCAAGCTTTGCAGTGATGCTGTTGAAAACAAAGTATGCAAGTTGAAGGCAAATAAACATTACAGGTTAAAAAATGTCAAATCATGCCCATTTCCTAACAAATACTTAAATAATCAGTGTGTCTCCCAATAACAGAATAACCCATGATTATGATTAATAATACAGTGTTTAAAAACCTTAATCTCATGTCAAGCTCAGCAATATGGCAGTCTCACTACCTAAGCAGAATTTACAGGAGAATACAAAGTATTTTATTCTAATTTTTAAGGATGATGAGAGATCCCCAGGCATCCAAAAGCTTCAACAACTCAGGATGCAAGTTTGAACATAAACAAAAAAAAAAGACTCCTCCTTTGCTGCAACATATGGCAACAAGGTATAAACCTCAAAAAATTTAAGTACAGAAAATGCTATAATGAAAATACTGTTCTGTGGAAAATATCCAACTTCTAAATCTTCTCAATTTAAGTCATATTTTCTCTGACATCCATGAGACAAAGACTGTCATTATTAGTCTAACAGGATGTGCCAGATACCCCCAGTCTTATCTTCCTCTTCCATAAGGAAGAAACTAATTTTATACTAACAGTATCAATATTACACAAGTGAATACAGTAAATAAGCATACTTTAAATATCAAAAATAGCATAAATGTGTAATACCAATTGCTCGGTAGCAGCAATTTTGCACTGTCCTAAGAGATTATACCATTGTTTTACACACATGGTTGAAGCACAAAATAGGAGTTTTTACTGGTTTAAGATCATATCATAAAATTACTCTTTCCTGTTTAGACTTTCAAGTAACAAAATCTAGCTCTCAGTAGATAGGGTACTGGATGTGAATTGATAAACTTGGGTTCTCTTCCTCAAGATTTGTGTTTAACCAGTAATTTTATCTTGAGTAGAATCAAACCACCTCTTCTTGCTTCTGTTTCCTCCCCTTGTCTATTTTGTCTATTTAGACTCTTTGAACTCTTTGAAGTTATTCTTAATGTGTGTTTGCTGTGTGCAGCACAGGTAGGGCATCCATCTAAATGTTACATCAATATAAAAAAAATCATCCTTTATCTAGAGGTCCAAGTGCAATAGTGCTTTTAAAAAGTCAATGTGTGGTTCTATACCTTTACTGAAGGACACTATGACAAAGGACAGACTTTAGACATAAACCAGTTTAAGTGATCAGAAACTGGTTCAAACCTGTAACAGAACAGAAGTTCATTACACATAAACCAGTTTGAAAATGGCTGAAACCAGTTTGAGATGCTACATTCAACCAGGTTTATCAGACCTAATTGATTTGGGTCAAACCGATTTCTGCAATGCCTGTCCCAGACCCCTTCCTGGCTTAAGTTAAGCCAGAGTCTGCCAGTATCCTGGCATGGTCACTAAGGTTGGGTGGGGCTCTGTTCCAGAGAGCTGGGCTCGCCCCTCCCCTCTGTTCCCTAACTGCAGCTCCAGTAGAGATTGCAGGTACAGTGGGATCTGCTTGGCTTCCTCCTGCTTCCCCACTCCCTGCTTAAGCAGGGATCCCCACCCCCCTTTGCCTTACACAGATACCTCTCAGCATCAGCTAGCACACCACATGATGGCTATGGTCCATGCTGTGGAAGACAAGACAAAGGCAAACAGGACTATGGTGACTTATGGCTTTTTGGAGCTAATGAACAAGTAGCTGGTAATGTAACTACATTCTTTCCTTGGAAAAGCTGTTTAAGAAGAGCTTGAACCAATGGGGAGAGGCTGTTTTCTTAATGGGCTGACAAACAGTGAGTTAGGGGTGATAAACACTGTATTATCAACTCCCTGTTGGGCTGCTTGGTGGGGTGGGAGGTAAGGGGACCCTACCTAATCAGAGCATCCTACTGTGGCCATGTCCCCCCAACACCTCAGCTCAGCACTATGGAAGGGAAGGCTGCTCTAGCACCCCCCAGCTTGTAGCTTGAGTCACTGCAGGCATGTGCCAACATTTCTTCAGTCCAGAGTGGGGCTAGGGACAGACATTCAAAAAGCTTGAGCCTGAATTGCTTCAATCTTTGCAGGTTAGTCTAACCTGGTTAAGCTAAACCACTTTAACTGCACAGACATCCCCTCTGGACTGAAAAAATGCTGACACATGCCTGCAGTGGCTCAAGCTAGAAGCCTGGGGTGGGGGAGGGGTGTTAGAGCAGCACTCCTTTCCCTTCCACAAGGCTGAGCTGAGGGGGGCATTGACAGGCCCCAGCAGGATGCTGTGATTTGGGACCCCTCCCCGTCTTTAACAGAGCATTTATCAGCCCTGTTATCAGCATTTAGCACCCCATCAGAAAACAAAAGTCTTGCTCATTATTTCAAGCTCTTCTTAAACATCTTTTTCCAAAGGCAGGAATGAAGGGAAGATACCAGCTGAGCTGTTGATTAGCTCCAAAAAGCCTGTAAGCGGACACTGCCCTATCTGCCTTACACAGCGTTAGCTATCATACCACATGCTGGCTACAGTCTGTGCTGTGGGAGAGAGAAGGAAGGGCTCTTTACTTAAGCAGTGAGTAGTGAGAGGAGGGCACAGGGAAGCCAGCAGACCCTGCAGTGCCTGCAAGTCTCTGCTGGAGCTCCAGCCAGGGAGCAGAGGGGAGGGCCCAGCTCTGCTGTGGAGCAGAGAGCCTCGCCCAGCTCAGAGAGCATGCCGGGATGCTGGGAGAATCTGATTTAACTTAAAAAAGCAAAGGGTCTGGGACAGACATTGTATAAACTGGTTTCACCCAAATCAGTTAAGCCTGATACTAAATTCAACCAGGTGTATCTGAAACTGGTTTCAGCCATTCTCAAACTGGTTTATGTGCACTGAATGTCTGTTCTTTTACACGTTTAAGCCAGTTTCTGATCACTTAAACCGGTTTGTGTGTAATGTCTGCCCCTACCTGGGATTTTTTAATGTTTACAAACTAGTTTAGCCTAGCCAGGTTAGACTAACCTTCAAAGATTTAATCAATTCAGGCTCAGGCTTTTTGAATGCCTGTCCCTAGCCTATTTGTCCTTGTTCTCCCCATATATGGCTTGGAAAACCACTGTTTCTCTTCTTTCAAATTTGTCCTGAAGATTCAAAGTCTCTTGTTGAGCACACAAGAACAAATCTTTCATTTTAAAAACCTAAATGAAACTAGATTATTATTCTATTGAGCTCCTTAGTTTTTTTCAGGCCTCTTTGCAGTTTAACTTCAACCCATTTAGGGTAGAAGTTATTTTATTTTTATTTTTTTACCAGCACTGGGAACATTGCTAACAACTAAGAATATAACCATAGGAAGATACTGCAATAAATGGCAATATTTGGGGCAGTCAATTTTAAGTTTTCAAAGGCTTTTGCTATATATATAAAATTATAAGATATGGAAATTGCTGCATATCCTTCTTATAAAATCCCATAAAACAGCTAACATCACTACAGAATAGAAGCTATATTCTAAAAACTTAAAATTATTTTGCTTTGCTTAATTGTCTTGCAATATAATGCTTAAACCATTTACAATTCAGGTACCAGTCTTTATTTATTTATTTATTTACTTATAGATAAGAAAACACTAACAGAGATCGCTTCAGCCTAGACAAAGAAAAATTTTACAATCCAATGCCAAGGGTTTGGAACAGGCTCCCCTTAGAGGTGGTACAGTCATCCACCCTAGTAATTTTCAAAAAAACCTCTTGACGCCCATCTTCCTGAGGTTATTTGATCCCAGCAGTCTCTCCTGCCCACGTGCAGTGGGGCTGGACCCAATGATTTGTAAGGTCACTTCCAGCCCCTAGCAACTATGAAACTATTATGAGAATTGCCCAATCAATTTTTGTTTATACATTTTCATTGTATATCTGCTTAGAGTTCTCAAGTCTAGAATTTACTTAAACTTAAATGAATCTGTGCTGAATCTCACAAGTGTTTAAATGGGCATGAATTACCCAAGTGATGCCTTTGAATGGATGTCTGACCAATGTACTCTACCTTATCAGACTCTTCAAATTTAACTCCTTTTAGCCTTCACCCTCACACAGATGCAAAATATATTTTCAAAGGAGCATGTGGTGCAATTGCTAACTCTCCTAGCCAAGCAGACAAACAGAGCAGTGCAGTAGGAAACAGGCCACTTTAGGAAGCCTTTAAAGTTTCAACTGTAATAATTTTTCAGACTGATAGCAATAATAAAAAACTACAGAGGATATAAAGTGAAGAAATATCTGGAAAAATGGTTGGGACATGATGTCTTAGAACTGTTCATTAGGAGTGTTGTACACTGACACAAAAATTATTTGTAAAATTCCAGGATGTGGGGCAAAAAGTATTTGACTCTCAAGATACAGATGATTAGAAAGGAAGAATGTCATATATTTGCCTCTACAGTTAACAATCAAATGCAATTATCCATTCATAAAGAGCTACCAGTAAAGTGTTATTTAAATTATGTAGAAGATTATATAACACAAAGAAAAATCTGCAAATGACTAAGTGGAGAATGCCAGTTAAACACACGTGACTCTCTCTTAAAGGTTTTTCTAGATATAGAAGTAAGCAGGGAAAAATTATGTACAAAACTGTTTATTTCAATCTCTAAAACTACAAGGCTTAGATAGATTTTATCAAATCTGACAGGCAATCTATCAAGAATGGTGGGAGCAGCTTTTATTAAATATATTTTTACACACAGTTTTATGTCTCAAGGGAAGCTAACCATTTCTGTCTTGGAGCCTCTTTTTTTCTGGTATTCTTTGAGCTACATAAAAAAAGAAAACAGATTCTAAAAGATCAATTTCTTTATTAACAATGATAACAACAACTCTAAAAGTCTACCTAAAGTCTTAATTTCTCTTTTGTAAAGATTTATTGCAAGACAGATCTACTACTTCATGTTTGGAGAAGGAAATAGTATCATAGTAGTTTAAAGAATCCAAAACTTTTGTGGTCTAAAACCGTGGTTCTAAACCTTTTTGGACTCAAGGCATCCCTCATTACTTTTGTGAATCTGACTGGTAGCCAATATCAAAAACTAATTTATAGATTACAGTGATTACCTACTTGCAGAGGGGCCTGGCAGTGGGAATGGGGGATTATCCAGGCAGGGAAAAGTCTGAGCCAGTGTTTATGTGCTTTAGATTAGCTGCTTATCTCCTAACACCTCGCTTATCTACTCACACCTCACTGCAACCTTCACAAGATCTGGCAACACCCTGGTTGAGAATCACTGGTCTAAAAGCATTCACTCCACTAAAATACAAGATTGTTTTCAATACTCAACAAAGACGTCAGTTAAATCTGCTAAATCATATTCTCTGTAGGACTTTAAATTAGAAGGAGATAAAGTTGCGTGTTGATATATATTCTATAGTTCATCCTCTATCTTTACAAGAGGAACCTGCTCATGAATGTAAAATTTCCACTGGCCATTTGTGAATATAATCAATAATTTTATCACCTGACAATTCAGAGACACTGCTTAGAGAATTGACACTAATCTCTGTGACATGCCTTAAATGTCTGACGTAGCAGTTCTCCAACTTTTTAGACTCAAAGATTCCCTCAGAAAATACCAGCTCTTAAGTTTTCACCCTTTTTTTTTACTACAGAAAAATAACAGAGCAATTCTGTTGCAAAGAAGTCAGAAAGACCACAACAGGTCAGAAATGTATTTAACACTATGGATTCCTATTTGAAATCTCAGGGTTTATCTTGTAAATCATGTCTGCACACACAACAATGCTAACATTGCATGGCACCACAGCACAACTGAAAGGATCCCTGGCACCCTGGATGAGAATCAATGGTCTCAAGAATATAAATTTTAACCAAAGACTTAAAATAATCTCCTCTATGCACATCCTAAAGTATGCACAGTAAGAAAGAAATATGCAAAACTTTACTCCAGTAGCATTTAGGCAAAAACACTTTCTGGAAGGCCAGAGGTCTGGATTTTATTTCCACCGCTACCACTAACCTGCAGTGTGACCTTGGTTAAATCACTTCACCTCTTATAGCCTGTTTCCCATACCTCCGATTCTCTAATTTACCTACTTAGACTTCAAACAATTTGGGACAAAATTTGTTATGTGTACATTCAGCACCTACTACAACTGTAGCTTTAAGTTGTTTTGCCGTAGATATAATAGATTATTTTAGAAAGGAAGAATGATCTGAAATTACAATAAAATTCTATTAAATTAAAATTGCATTTGTCTTGTTTTCCATTTAAGGAATGCCTTGCATTCAAGGTTTTACTATGGCTATATACGAGGGGTATGGGCTCACTTGCCCTGGAGCCCATGCCATCTTACCATGATGCAGTACAGGGAGACCCCGTCCCCACACTGAAGCCCAGGGTACAGCATACAGTAGGGAGAGTTCCCTTTCTGCCAAAGCCTGAAGCAACAGAGTTCTGTGCAGTCTAGTGTGGGAACAGCCCCCGACCAGCAAATGCTATCAAAGCCATCAGTCCAAATCTGACCCACAGGCTGCAAGTTATCAATCCCTGCTATATATACTATTTCCTGCATGGTTACCTCTGTTTTTCATGGCTAGGGATAGACATTACACATAAACCGGTTTAAGTGATCAGAAACTGGCTTAAACCTGTAACAGAACAGATGTTCAGTGCACATAAACCAGTTTGAAAATGGCTGAAACCGGTTTGAGATAAACCTGGTCGAATGTAGAATCAAACTTAATTGATGTGGCTTAAACTGGTTTACACAATGTCTATCCCAGACCCCTTGCTGGTTTAAGATAAACCAGACACCCCCAGCATCCTGGCATGTTCTTGGGCTGGGTGGGTCTCTCCGCTCTAGCCCAGCCAGGCTAGCCTCTCCCCTCTGCTTTCTAGCCAGAGCAGGGGCAGGGTGTGGCCAGATGCTGGCCTGCCATTGCCCCTGAGGCATATTTCTCCCTCCATCCCTTCTCCTTTCCCCTCCCCCCACCAACACCCACTCCCACCGCTGGCAAACCCTGGGGACCGCAAGTGCTGTTTGCTAGCCCCAGCATCTCCTTGGCTTGTCTGCAAACAGGCAGGGATGGAGTTAATTGCTCACTCTGTCTCCTCTCTCCCCCAGAACTGCTGGGGCCTTGGCTGGAGTGGGGCAGAGAGGCAAGCTAGTGTATGCCCAGAGCTAAGAAGCATGTGTGACAATCATCACACACGCTGATTAAAAGTTAAGAGAAGTTGCAAACAGCTTCACCAAAGAATGGGGAGAGCTGTATTTACATTATAAAGCCTTTCTGAATGCCTGCCTGTAAGGAGACATTGCCCTCAGGATTAGTAAAACTAATTCTCCTCTTTCTGGTTTACATTTTAAGTTAGACTCATTTGTGTATGCTGTGTTTTACTGGGCTTAGGTGAAGATTTTTGGTAGTTCCCTGTTGTATGCTTTGCAAATTGCTGTGTTCAATACATGCTTGCTTCAGAGAAAGGACTTTTCCCCCATCCTCACATCTCAGGCTGGTGCCTAGCCATGTCCCCTCCACTCCACTAGGGAGAGGTGAGAGCCTTGCCCCTCCTTTTTGGCAGTGGCTGGCAGGCACTGCAGGCTGTACCTGTATTTCCTGGTTTAACAGAGCATGTCTGTCTAGTTATTAATCAGTTTAAGCTGTGCAGCTTAGACTAACCGACAAAGACTGAATCAATTCAGGCTCAGGCTTTTTGAATGTCTGTCCCTAATTTATATGGCAACAAAGATACACCTATTGCTAATTAGCAGTCATTTTACAGCTTGTTAGTAGCCTTTTCTGTTGCACCTGATGTGTTTCACATACTGCTTTGCAAAGTGATTTTATTATGGCAGACTTCAAAAGAAAGGAAAGGGGCAGTTGCAGAGGAATGAATCACTGAATAAAAGGAAAATAATGCAAGCACTCAGAAGCATCCTTCAGAATCGGTAGAGACATGTTATTTCCTGTACTTTTTTAATTATGCCAACTGAGTTTGTAGCTGCAGCATCAGATATAAGCTTAGCAAGAAAACCAAACGTTAATACTTGGGAAATTCCAGCATTACTTTAATTCCTCCCTAATTCAAAATTCCTTGCAAAATGATTAATCTGAAACAAACTCCCAGAAATATTATTGCAGGATAGGCCAGACTTTCCTTTATCATTCATACTACTAAGGAGGACTGGGGCTCCATTTCCCTCCCCTTGACTGAGGTTTAAGAGAAAAAGAAATGGGGTTGTCTCTCTATCTCAGAGTAGGATGTTTAAAACTTTCTTCTAGGAGTCTCTTATATTCATCTTCCAACTTCGGTTTATTAAAAAACTGGACATCCTCATGCAATGAGTACCTGTATTAGATCTCTGCTACAGGGTCCCAGCAATTAGGCTGACTGGTTCCCCAACTCTGGACCAGTTCCTAAATAGATAATAATTTTCTCCCTAATTTCACCTCTAGAAAAGGCCTAGACCAGTAATTCTCTACCAGAGTGACAGCACCCTAGAGTACCTTGAGATCCTTTCAAGGGTGCCATGGTTGCCACATAATATTAACGTTGTTAGGTGTGTGAACATGATTCACAAGATAAACGCACAAATTTCAAACAGAAATCCATAACTGTGGTGTGAGTTCTTTGTAACAGAAAAACTGCTCTATTTTTCTTTAGTCATAAAGCAGTGACAACTAAGCTGGCATTTTCCGAGGGATGCCTCAAATCTATCCAAGGGTGCCTTAGATCTAAAAAGGTTTAGAATCATTGGCCCAAATGTACCTCAATCTCCATGCCCTGATCCTTAAATCACTTGCTCACAACATTCCAGGCATGCAGGAATTAGTAGGAAGTAGGACCGCAGCCACGGTGGTCCAGGAAATGTACAAAAGGGGCAAGAGGGTATTTTATTAGATTTTTCTATTGGAGCAACTGTACAGTTGGGAGAGATGGGCAAGCATTTGGACATTAAGTGCCCTTTAGAAGGTTCCTGAAAAATGGCATTTTGTCTCAAAGCTTGCCTATCATCTCTCCAAACCACACCGTTGCTTTTATAAAAGACATCACAAGTCTTGACCCTCTACACCAGTTAGTATCTACCTCACAACCAACACCCAGCCATCTAAATACCTGAATGGATGATTTCATCCCTTATATTGTACAACAAGTCATTTGCTTGTTCTGCAAAATTTATCCATTTCCAATTATCAGTTCCCAAGAGTGGGCTTTTTTTTTTTTTAAGTAGTTCTGCTTTGCTATGTGGAAGGGTCTTGCTGACAAACTATAAAACTTTTCCAATTACAGAACATTTCACTGACATTTCAGAGTCTGGAATTATTTTAACATTTTTAGTTAAGCACTACTTAAATACTATACAATTTAGCAGTCTAGAATATTAGTTAGTTTAGTAACAACACAGCATCCTCCCAGAAAACTTTATGTATTATTTGTACATTTTTTTGGTCAATGGCTGGATGTGATTTTTTTTTTTGGTCAGCAAGGGTAAATAATATCAAAATATGTGCACCTCATGTTTTCAGCTGAATCCTCTGGCATTGGAGCAACAGTTTGCACTGCTGGAAGGTTCTTACTAGTAGCACCATTCACAAAGCTAGAGGACGAAGAGGAAGAGGAAGATCCTGAATCCACTGCACCTGTCCCAAAACAATAAATATAGATTATAATTTGGTCTGAAAAACAAGGGCTTTTAAGACTTTTTTTTAATGTAATAATAATTCTTGTATGTCAATCTATTTAAAATATATATAATCTTATCCATTCTCTACTAATTACAAGGATTTTAACATCTAAACAACAAAATTGCTTACTTTGCTAGTATAGCAACTCTCATTGATACCCTAGATTATTTGCTATTGCTCTATATTTACAGTTATATCTACTGCTAGACTAGGATACCTATACATTTAAAAAACAATGTATTTTAACACAAACGTAAAAGGAAATAATGTATCAAAGAATAGATCTTAAAATGAAATTTCCTGAAAACAGATTGTCACAAACTTAATAAAAATAACAGAATATTCAGACTAACATGTTTCTTCCCCTTCTATTACTATTTAAATGTTTTTAAAGATTATTTTCTTTACAAAACTACCTCCTACTCAGCACCTGTATAATATTTATAGTTTCTAAGCCCTCTCTCAGACATGAACTTGCAGTTGAAAAAAAGAAAGCAAAATAAGTCTTACCTCATATTTTCATGACCCTAAAAATAAATTCCAATGGCTAAAACATTTTTGCATCATCATGATAATACAGACATTGTTATTATGAACTTGTGTGAAGAATGAGAGAATTGTGTATTTGGTTTTCCCTTAGTATCACGTGCACCTCAGTTTACCAGTTTACTGTTATCTTGCCTGAATGCAAGGAGTTAAAAGAATCTGTTGAGGGGAGGGAGGTTGAAAATAAACAGGAAATAAAACAATAGCAAATTAAGTTACAGCCTAAAAAAATATCCACAGTAAGGAAACACAGAAATAGCAAAGCAGATGTCACTCCCAACCCAAGAAGAATTTGTTACTTATAGACTAACTAAATCAGAGATGCATAAGGTTTTGTAAGCACTGGCTTGCCTTGTCAGATCCTAACCCAACTCAGAATGGTGGTAACTGAAGTTAGGGGGAACTAAACAAAAGCTTGCCAGAAAAGATATAGGTTAATGTGTGGGGAAAATAGGTGTACAGCCCATTACTGTCTTTACACTTTGCTCTGCATGAGATGTTCTTCTGGATGAATAAATAACTGTTTTGAAGAAGCTGTTTTGAGCCGTTTTAATCAGCCTCTGTCACAGGCTTCGGGAAGAAAAAAAAAGAAAGAGCTTGAATATGCCGGTACTGTTGTGTTAGAGCTGGTAATACGAATCTTGCAGTCTAGACATGTAGTCTAAGAACTGTAGGACCATGAAGCTTCATGAAGAATGCAGCAAAGTGGGGAGGGCTTGATTCCAACAGGGGGAACTCCAGAGAGACTAAGGGTCTAAAGAGCACTGCATGACACTGACCGTGGGGCAGCTGTGCTATGTTGACTGTGATGGGAATTTGTAATGAGCAAGAACTTGATTTTGTTTTGTAATAATTATCCTAAAAACTCAACCAGAGTCTATAAAAATATATTCATTATGTTATATCATATAAAAGCTGGAAATAGAAGATTTGGGGGGCATCTAGTGTCTCCAAATGACCATATAACATTTTTTCCGCAACAGTAAACTATCATTTAGTGAAATTCAAGGCTGTCTTGAAAAATGAACCATCTTTTTATCAAGGAATTTTTAAGCACAACAGCTAGCATATAAACTGAATGACACCTGATAACTTTAAACACATGCTTTTCAATATCAGGCACATATCATTTAAAATTCATTATTGCAGGTATAATATGACTGAAGTAGCTGAAGCTGTAAGTTTAATACTTTAGTTAATTTGGTGAAATGGAAGAAAAAAAAGAGAACACAATGACAACTTTCAACACAGACAAACATACATACAACATGCCTTCAACATAACAAATACATTAATCAATGTTTTATTTGCATTTTTTCATACTTGACGTACAATTTCATACTTGACACGTACAATTTTTAGGACACAGGAATTAAGTTTTAACTTTTAGAAATGAGGACAATGCAACTTTTAAACTGTACAGGGTCTTCATAAAGTCCTTGTGCACTTTAATTACTTAAGTTGTAGGCATGATCGAAACAATCTGTGAATGGCATTTAAAAGCAAATTTATTAAAGTTTTAGCACAACTAGAGTACACAATGCTAGACTTCATAAGTAATAAGGAATTTATTCTTAAACAAGATGGAGCTCTGTGCCACTATGCTCTGAATGTACGACAGTTCCTGAATGACGTTTTCCCAGAGAAGTAGATAGGCAGAGGTGGACCAACTGCTTGGCCACCTCACTCACCTGACCTGTTGCCGTTGGACTTCTTTTTATGGGGACATGTTAGAAGTGTAGTTTGCTTGTCAAAACCACGTTCTTTGGTGGAACTTAGGGCTAGGATCACCAATGCAATTAGTGCAGTAACTCAAGAGCAACTGGGAAATGTTTTCAAGGAGTTGGAAGATTGACTTGAGCACTGTATCATGATGGATGGTGATTATGTTGAAGTCTAGCACTGTGTACTCTAGTTGTCCTAAAACTTTAATACATTTGCTTTTAAATGCCATTCATGAACTGTTTCTATCATACCTACAACCTAAGTTATTAAAGTTTAAAAGTGCACAAGGACTTTATAAAGACCCTATATTTCTTGAGAACAGAATGTTCCTATAAAAAAGTATCCAGGTGAATTTAGGCACAAAAAGCTTCATAAAATGAAAGTAGCCCAAACAAGCAATCAATTCCCTTTTCCTAAGGCCAGTAAAGAAGCTTAGTACATTTGTAGTTCTGCATAACTAAAGCTAGTAAAGCTTGCTGAAATACTGAGTATGGACAAATATACACTGTAGTAGCTTCTTAGCTGCTCTTCGGTAGTGTGCACTACCACCACCTGTTCTACCGTAACTCCCACATCTGCATGATATAAGCAAGCTAAACTGCCCTATCTTTAATTCTGATTGAAGCAAGGTAAAGTTGGAGTAGCTTTGCTGCATTTGTATCCCCCTACATTATCACACAAACCTAAAACCCAGAAGTTGCATTATAAGAGTGTCCTTTGGTATCAAAACGTCTGTCTATACCCACCTTCTAGTCGGTATTTTCCTGTAAACCTGCTGGGCACAGCCTACCAAACAAAAATGGTTCCGATAAAAAAAAAAAAAAATGTAGCTATCACTATGCAAAGGCAACATTTTCCCCCCAAAAACACTGGAATCTGATGTGCAGAATTTTCCTGTACTGTATAGTGAGAAGAGTTTGGGAGTAATGATTGCTCTCTAATAGCAACCATTGACCAAAAAATGGCTAATTGCTTAAAGTTATATAGTGTTTTCGATATGCTGAAAACACTGAAAACCCCAGGGCGATATAGCACTATGTGGAAAAAAGAAAGACTTCCAGTATGGGGCTGTCTTGTGAAACAAGGGTACGAAAAAAGGGGATCCATGTCAAACAAGCAGAAGCAGATGCAAATGGAACAAAAGTATTAATATAGTTCAATAAAGCAGCGTTATTCTGAAAATGATAAACATTTGAATTTCCCATGCCTAGAAGTACTGACAAAGACCTATTGCAAGTAGCTGAGGGTGTTTTACAAAGGAAGACAATAAGTGTTTATTCTGATACTTTGTGAAATACAAAGTGGCTGGAAATTTTCTCCCACTCTATTCTCCAAACATCCAGGGAGATTTAGGTGTTATCAATCACTAACTAAAGTTCCTAAAGCCTTACACAGGGTTTTTCTTCTCTCCAGCAATTTAGGTATACATTTGAGAGGCAAAACAGACCAAAACCAGAGATTTATAAATCTTAGCCCATTTCCTATCATCCATAGATTCCAATGAGGTAGAGAAACCCTAAGTTATTAACATTAAAAGTTGAAATGAAAATAACACTCCCCAAAAGACCATATTTACAGAATCATAAGGGAGGGGAAAAAATCGCAACCTTTTGCACTTCTTATTTACATCATAGAAGATTAGGATTGGAAAGGATCTCAGGAGGTCATCTAATATCCAACCCTTTGCTCAAAGCAGGACCATGCCCCAACTATATCATTTTTATAGGTCATCTTTAAGGAGAAATTACACTGCTCCTTGGACAATGGTTAATATTAAAATGAGTTTAAATACACTTTTTATTAAATACATTTAAAAGGCTCATAACATGTTATGCTGATTTTTTATTTTTTTTTATTTTTTATTTTTGACAGATTCATCACCACCTTCAGTGTCAGCAAGGAATTCCCTCCTCAAATCTAGGGTATATTAATGGGCACACAGGAAGGTTTTTTGTTGGTTTTTTTTTTTTTTTTTTTTTTTTTTTTTTACCTTTTTTCCTTTTACTGCAGAGAGGAAGCATTGAGGGAATTACCTCATTTTCATGCAACATTCAATATTTCTAAGATGCCACTCTAGGATTATATATATGAATTTATATAAGGTTGTATAATTCACATAGGCATTACAGATTTAATGCATGTATAACAAAAGGAGACTATGTTCCTCAAGGTACAAGGTATATACTTGAGCCTTCAATTTTTTGTTTTGTTTTTAAGAGTCCATTAAAAACAGAAAAGAGACAGTAGGACAAAAACACAAAGAAAAAATGAGGGTCACAAAAATATTTAAGGACAATACCTGTTGTATTAATCATACTTTTTGGTGTTGCTCCTGTAGCAGCAAATATATTAGGTGTTGTACCCGGTGGCAATCCACCTCCAGCAGTGGCAGCTCCAACTGTAGTGACAGCAAGACTACCTGGAGGGGGTTTCTTTACCGGAACAACAACGCTCCTGCAGAGGAAAAAAAGATAGGTTTGTAAAACATCACAAAGGAGTGACTTTTGGGTTTGTTTTTTTTTCTTTTAATCATAGTGATAAGGAAAACATCACACAACAATATTTTCTTAACTTCTCATAGCAGTCAGTGAGGTCTAATTGACTGAGTCTGAGGCTGAGAATTAAGAACTCTTGGGTTTTACTTTATATCATGTCATCACCTATGTGATCATGCAAAACTTAACTAACTTCTGCTTCCACTTCAACACCTGTAAATTGGAAATGCCACCTCTTTCACAAGGGTGTTGTTTGTAAGGACTAATAACTGTCAATTACACTAAAGCGATTTGTGATCGTACAGTGCTAAATATGGGAATTATTATGGCAAAGCAGTATATATACCAATGCTATCAGAGGGTCTTACCACAGCATCTAAGATGACAAAGATCACAGGTAACACATAAACATAGCACCTGATTTTCTACTGCCCTAAACATTACATATTCAATTATAACTGACTGTAAAATCTATTACACGTGTTTTGTCAACAGTCTAGAGATGCAGCCCAGGGCAGAGGGGCAGCAGTGGTCTTGACTGCGATCATGCAGATACCAGCAGCAACCACTTTTTTTTTGTTGCACCCCCTCCCCAAGTTGGCACTTGGGGTGGTTGCCCTTTTCACCCCATTTTAGCTTTATGCCACTGTATTTTGTTCTCCCTGCTGGCCAGACAAACAGGGCATACAAGGTGTAATATAGTAGAAACTCATAGGTACAGCTCAAAATATGCTTAGTTTTAATTACCAAAAGGGAAGAAAAACAAACATTGCATGTGTAAGTGTCTGTAGCCTTTAAGAGAAAAGAATAGGAACTATAGAAATATGTATTATATTCACAGTTACATTTTCATTCCCTCTGAAGATAAAGTATTTGTCTTTACATTTGAAAACTGAGACCTACTGTATACACTAATAGATGAAAAGAAGGGAAATACCAAATGGACCTTTAAGTAATAATTTTTTAACCAGGGTGCCTGTCATCATATAAGTAGCATTCTACCTACTCTAAATGGTGCTCCTTTACATGACATACAAAGCCAACATTGCTATAGTTCCTGCTTCAGCCAAAGACTGAAAAACAAATCTGAAACAGAAAAGGTTTTTAAATGCAAGAAGGGGGAAAATATTCTTATTTTCATTACACACACACACACACACACACACACACACACATGCTTTTCATCTGAACACATGCACTTCGTTTTTCAACTAAAACTCCGGTTAGTAATATTATGGCACTGAAATAAAAGAACAAAAGAATATAACTATTTAGGGTAATATGTCCAATCCTTGGCCATAATTCTGCACTTCAGAAAGTGCTTCTAATAAGGATTTCTCAGTATATTTCTTAGTAAACCTGACGGTACTCTTTCAGAAAAGAATACAATCATTTTTATGTTTAAAGTGTTGCTAGATCCTTGTACCTTGTTGCATGAATGCTATGTAAAGATCTTGGTGTTGCTTGCAGCACTTCTACAGTTGTCTAGCAACAAGAATCGTATCTATTGTACCAAGGAATGGTCTGAAATCACATTGGCACTCATGAAGAATTTCCTTAGCAAGGAAGGTGAGTAGATTTCCAGCTATGAACAAGGGTGTTATGCCACAATAATTGTTGCAATTCAATCCATCTTCTTTCTTGAACATGGTAATGATTTTGGCATGTTTCAGGTCAGTGGAAATCTATTTGTGTTTCCAGACTTTCAGAATAACAATGTGTAGTTGGTAAGAAAAATTCTTTCTGCCTTGCTTATAAATTTCAACTGGTATTCCATCAGGACCACATGTTTTTTTCATTTGCTTAATGACTTTCAAGGCCTTCAATGGCAAGGTAATACTTAATAAGGTGTTGTAGACTGTCTTCAATGTTAGAATCTCAGTCCAGGAGCTCTTGAAAGTGTTCCTTTCACCATGTGTTGATGGTGGATCTGTCTTGAAAGAGCGTTGTTCCATCCTGGGGCCTCAGAAGGACAGCTCTTTGTGCGTGTGGCTCTCATCAAGTCAGACTGGTTTGACGAGAACGATAACTAAATTCAAGCTCTTACTGACAGAAAAAAAGAGAGTCTTCAAAGCTTGGCAAAATGACATCAACAACAAATAGAAAACAGACAAGGAAGAAACTACGCATGGCGTGGCTGTTGGTTGCAAGGAAGAAACTATGCATGGCATGGCTGTTGGCAAACTTTTCAATCTCTTTTGCTTTGTCCTCCCACCACTTGTTCCTTCAATCTTGAATCTTCCTGTAGGTCTCAGCATTAATGTGGTGATAGCAGTCTGTTTTCTATTTGTTGTTGATGTCATTTTGCCAAGATTTGAAGGCTCTCTTTTTTTTTTTCCTATCAGTAAGAGCTTGAATTTAGTTATCATTCTCATCAAACCAGTCTGGATGCTTCTTTATGGAGAAGCGTAGAGATCCTTTGCATGCCCTGTGGATTCTTCTTTATAGTCTTACAGAATATAACATCAAGTTCAAGCTCCTGATCCTTACCCTCAAAAGTCCTAGTATCAAGAAACCTAAAGATTACTTAAAGCTCATGGAGAAAAATCATGTTGAACAACTTTAATTCTCTGGTATAGTGGAGTTTTCTACCATACGGGTGAAACTCATTTGTAGCGGAGATCGAGCATTCTTTGATGTTAATTTGAGATTGTGAATCACGCTCCTTAAGGAGGAATACCTAACTCACCACTGCCTATTAAAAATACAAGATGCATTACTTAACTTGACTTCTCCAGCAAATATGAAGCAATAAGTATGGGTAAAACACTCGGTCCCTGGTATAGACTTCTCTTTGGGTTATTATGATCCATATAACAAGCTGTGTTTATTAGGAAATATAGTGGCAGGACCAAAATTGACTTAACTGCGGTGTCTCTTGGAGCCCTGGAAATTAAGACTGTTGCTTCCTGACATACCACCAAATTCATATCTATGAGAAGTCCCTTGGGCCAGATGATGTAGTTCCACAAGCCCTAAGCCACTCATCTGGTCCATGGGCAGACATCAAGCACTGGATCCAATCCACAGATTGGCCTCATGCCACATATCCAGCCTATGGATTGACCAGGTCACTTATCCACCCCTCTTAATTGAAACTAGAGCCTGTCAACTCAAATCGTGCAGACATCTCAAATGTTAGCAAGGACAGAATGAAATAGGTGGCACCCAAGGGAACTAATTCTACCACATCATAAATCATAAGCCAAAAATACCACTGAATGGCACTTGGAAACAAAAGGGATGTGTGCATAGAGCATCTGTGTGTTACAGTGTATGCAGAAGGTTCTTCTACACTTTTGTGTGTTCTGAACTAGCTGAAGTCCTGGATGGGTATCAAATGAAACGAACAAGTGGCATGCTCTTCAGTAACCAAATCTTTAGATGATAAAGGCATAGACTGTTATTTAAAGCGATATCCTGAACCTTAGCATATGTAGATACCACCCTCTGCCTCTATAACAAAACAGTAACAATGCTAAAGAATGGTCTTGGGTGACTAGTCATCAAATACATTGCATTTTTAGTGTTTGATAAAGGCACAGTATGTGTAAACTTAGGCTCAGCTTAGTGACTTCACAGCATACTGTAATGCAAATGACCTAGATGCAATTAGCAAGATTTTTGAGATGAGGTAATACCTTTTATTAAGTCATAGTTGGGATAGCTGGGAGAGATGTGGCCATGCTTTTGAGCACAAAAGGCCCTTCTTGGCAGATCTGAGAGAATGTGAAGTCTGTCAGATGGCAGTGTGTAGCTGCAGGAAGCTACATGTCGTAGAATGGGTATTAACATCCTGATTGTTATCAATGGATTGCCCTTGACTTTTATGAGGTCACAAGAGGACTGGAAATTGTTTTTTGAGTAGTGGTGCCCAACCTTTTGGCCCCATGGGCTAGGTGAGTGGTGCAGGGCAGTCCACGTGCTTAATTAGGCCCTATGCACCAGGATGAGGCCCCACACTGCTGCCACCTGACTCTGCATGCCTGGATTGGGGCCCAGATGCTGGGATCAGGCCTGAAGAACCCTGCATGCTTGACCTAGGGCCATGCTACCTGGACCCCAGGGGTCCAGAAATTTAGCAGCAAGGAAGCATCACATAACACTGCCACTGATCCTCTCCCCTGCTGCCAAATGTTCAGACCCATGTGGAGCCCTGCACGCTGGGTGAAACTGCTCCCAGAGCCAGATCTAGCCTGTGGGCTGGGGGTTGTACACCCCTGGTCTTGAGGAAGACAGGCTCTGGCTGATGTAGACTTAGTGGTAAGTGGTTCTCATCACTACAGTCTCTGAGCTGAAACCAAGAGGTACAGGGGGCAGCTTTAGACATTATCTGTAACCTACTGAGCAGGGAAGCCTACCATTAGCCAGTCAGCTAATTAAGGGCAAATTGTGATGTTGCTCTGTCTAAGGTGGGATGCCACTATTGCAAAGACATTAGTGAAAAATCTTTGAGCTACTGGGAGTCTAAACAGAAATACCTTGTATTGGTCCTGGCCACAATAAATTGACAGTCTTTTTTGTGTGAAGGCACGAAAATATACATCCTAAAGATCCACATATGTGAAATAATGCCTAATTCCAAGGCAGGAATTAGGATAGCTAACAAATCTATCTTGATCTTGATTTTGAGGTTGAGAACCACTGCAATAACATTATTCAGGAGAGTGGGAAGTAGCATGCATCCTTCAATTGTCTCAAAGTTTTTGCCTTTTGCCTGGAGAAAATGAGTTGAGGGAATGAAGAGAAAGAAAGGCTGCTTCCTCTTGTGGAAGTACTAGTGTTTCTTCAGGGCTCTGGAGAGCATCATATGCAGAATGGAGCAGAAGCCTGCGCTGAATCTGGGAGGATATTTATGCTTCCTCTTTGGGAAAGCTGTAGAAACTTCAAAAGAGTACAAGATAGCCTGGTCTCACGATAGCCTAGTCTCATCCAGATGAGTGCAGATATTTGGTTCCG